CGTCTCTGAGTGTGAGCCAGGAGTAAATACCCTGAGAAAAATCGAGGTCTGGCTCTTGCTAGCAGAGACATTCCTGGATCATCTGGTTCCCAGCTGGGTGTCAGACACCCCACGGGACCCCACTTGTGACCGTGACATAGAGTGTAAGGCAGCCCGGGGGGGTTTCTGGGGGAGGCATCGCTGCTGGAGTGTGAAATGACTGATTAACCACGAAGCGGGCGTCAGCAAGCAGAGTCACTGATGGCACCGGCGGGGCAGCTTTGCCTTCAGCTGGGTTGTGGGATGCTGGCACGGCTGCAGGCTGACGGCCCAGAGGAAAGGGGAGGTGGCCGTGAGGGCAGCGAGGGGGGGTTCACTGTGTACAGACAGATTTAGCCTTGAACAAGTGCAATTTTTTGTTAAGGGGAAGGAAGAAACGGAACCTGCCCATAAAGTCAGGCCCAGAGGATGTTGCAAGGTTATCCAAGCATTTAGAAAGAGAGATGCTGCTTCTGCCAGAGGGAAGAGGCTTCCTTCAGAAGGGGAGGGTGTCGAGAGGCACACAAGCAGGGGAAGGACTGCAGGGGAGCCTTCTGCGTGACAACCAGCACCACTCCCTCTCCTCTTCCTCCTCCCCTTCAAAGCAAGCCCCTCCAGCCTGCCAGACCTGTGTCACCCTTCATTCATTTGGACAGATGACAGCAATGCTCACTTGTACATGGCTTTCTAGGGGGGGAAATTTACAAAATCCCACTGGAATTCATTCATTAGTATATAAAATTCAATAAGCAAAGAAGCAGAATTTACAAAATATAAACATCACATCCTATCGTATTGCTTTCTGGTCATGAGTCAGTGGGAATGGAGGTGGCCAGCAGTGACGGGAACTCTCTGTACACTATGAATAGGAGCTTGTTTCCATCTGGGCTGGATGAAGGGCGAGAGTGCCCACAGCAAGCACTGCCAGCTAAAACTGTGCTTCCAAAACCCTGGCAAGAAACAGCAACGCTTGGCATCAGCACCAGCAGTGTTTTCACCCGTGTGGTTCCCTGTGGCCCCCTCTCCCTTGCTGCAACCAGGCACAAACCGCTCCCAACAGCTCCCAACCAGCAGCACTTTGCCTGCAGCAGCCCCAGGCCCTGTAGCTGGGGGACAGGGCTGCCCCTCAGGCTGCAGAGCTGCCCAACACCCAGCACAAGCACTCGCTGCCTGAACCGGTGGCAAACTACCCTGATGGATGGGAAAAGGGCAAAAGGAGCCAAAATCCAGCCAGTAATGATTTTCAGTGACCAAAGAACGAAAGTTGTAAGCAAATAAGCAAAAGCTAGTCATTTTTGTACAAAACATTTCATCTTTGGTGGGGCAAAAAATCTGTTTTGACAGCAATTTTCCACTGAGAAAGGCTGGCTGGCTATATACCCAGATTTGCTATATAACTGCAAGCTGCAGCCTCGGTGCTGCCCACCTCTGCCCGCCACCACCAGCAGTTGGTAGGACCCTTCCAACAGCTTCCCCAGAGGGCTCCTCTCAAGCGAACAGTATGGGAGCAACCAAGTACGCTGGAACAAGGTCAGTCCTTTGGGCCAGAGCCTGCCCCGAAAGACCAGACGGGCCATTTCTACCACACCTCTTGGCTTTGGCAGAAAAGGACATATTCTCGGGCTGAGCAAAGGCATTGCTCCTCCATTCCCACCTCTTCATACAGCAAAATGGTCTGCATCTCTACAAAATATTCTCATCATAAAATGACTGATCTATTTACAAAGAAAAACTCGAATGAAAGCATATCATCCACAACAGCAAGGTTATAGCAGCAGTTGCATGTCTTCAAAGATACCTGGCTTGATCTATGTTACATGCAGACATCAGCAGGGAGGAGAAGGTAAAAAAAATAAAATAATAATTAAAAAAACCCACCCATTCAGCAAAGTCCTTGGTGTTGTCCTAGAAAGAAGCAGACAAATTTGCCTTTCAGCTTACAAAACATACAAGCAAGGGGTGGCTGCAGCCAGGAGGGGATGAAGCAGGAGTATATGCAGCTGTGTCAAACTCATCACCTCCCCACTGGTCCACTCCCCAGGTCAAGTCATGCAGAGAGGAGGAGGCCAGAAGGTCCCCAGATCCAGCTGGACACAGGGGAAGCAGGTAGACAGAGAGACAGGGAGACACCTACATTTTCCTGTCAATGCACAGGGCTGTAGGTTCCCTCCACCTCCTTGTATCTGGTGAGCAGCAACAAACAGCAAGAGACGGCAGCACCCGCCACCAGGGAACTGATGGGCTGAAGAAGTGACAATGGAGGAGTGGGAGATGGGGCTGAGGATCCTCATCTCCATTTGTGAATTTGCAGCGGGTGGCTCTGGGGCTGGTACAGGTAACAGCACATTTAAGTTCCAAGTCTGGTGACACAGAAAGGTTTTCCAGAGAAAGGGCAACTGAATAAAACAAAACCCTTCTACATGCTGCTACTATACGCCACAAAAGCTGAAATGAAGTTATGGAATATAAATACCAAAACAGATCCCTAAGTAGACCACAAAAATAAGTTAACATTTATATTAAAAAAAAAAATTTACATACAGCAAAAAATCTGCATATTTTTAAATAATTTTCTTTGGAAACACACTCCCAGTCAGAATTCACCCCAAATGGTCACTGCTGAATGTCTTAATTGCTCATAAGCTGGTAGGGAAAAACATCCTTACATTTTGGTACAATGGGAAACTTTGGTCCCCTCTGAATTTACATCTTCTCCCCCTCCCATCACATCTTCAGTGCTTTTTGGGAGGCTGTGGAGTATGCAGAGCTTGCCTGTGTTTAAACAAAACAGACCTCAACCTAGCGGCTTTTAATTTTGATATTCTTCTCTCCCTGCTTGTGTAAGACTTTGTATATGCACAAGGAGAAACTGCTTGGCAGACCATCAAGACCCAGCAACTGGAGCAGATTCTGACTTCATTTGGTGGGGGGAACTGCACTCAAAATGCACCCTGAAATGCACCTGGGAAGCAATGCACACCTTGGCTTCACTACCTCCAATTCCAACCCTGGCAAGAAAAGCCTCCTCATAGACTAGAAGGAGGCCAAGATTAAAACTCCTCAGTGGGCAGAGAGGCTATAGAGTCTCTCTTGGAAGCCTGTGAGAGATGGTCCATGGTCCAGCTGTGTAACTTGGGAGATGATGATCTGGTTCCCCTTTCTACTGCACCAGATGCCTGGTGAGACCCTGGTCAAGTCATGCTGAACAAGAGCATGACTGAACAAGGGGGAGAAGAACCCATCCCTTCATCAGCAAGAGCTATGCTGACATGGTTTAGGTGAGATATCAGGAAGAAATTCTTTACTGTGAGGGTGGTCAGACACTGGAACAGGTTGCCCAGAGAAGCTGTGGATGCCCCCTCCCTGGAAGTGTTCAATGCCAGGTTGGATGAGGCTTTGAGCAACCTGGTCTAGTGGAAGGTGTCCCTGCTGATGGCAGGGGGGTTGGAACTAGATGACCTTCAAGGTACCTTCCAAACCAGACCATTCTATGATTCTATGACAAGCAGATGAGAGACTGTCTGGTGTTCAGAGGAAGTAGTGTGGAGGACACCTAGGACAGCATCCACTGAAGTTGAGAGAAGGGATTCCTGCAGTATCTATTTGGGATGCCCTACCTCTGTAAGTGTTTGAGGTCAGGCTGGATGAGACTTTGAGCAACCTGACCTAATGAAAGATGTCCCTGCCCATGGCAGCAGGGTTGCACTAGATGATCTTTAAAGGTCCCTTCCAACACAAACCACTCTGTGATTCTACGATTTGTTTTTCAGTACAAGCTGAAGGACGAATTCAAACCAGTGGCATTACATGGGCATGGCCCACCTTCCTGATGCTTTAACAAGCCTTTTTTAGGGAAGTGAATTTGGCTGGGAAAAGCTACTAGAGAAAGTTAAAAAAAATATTAATCTTACAGCAAAACCAAGGCATTGCCAACCAAACACAGACTCAGGTCTCAACTCCAAATTTCCCACTTTTAGCAGTGGCCAGGCTCTGGAGATGATCTCTAGCCCCAGAGGGAAACTTCCTCTCAGAAAGCTGGACCATAGAGCTTAGAGGTGTTTTCTGGGCTGCAGGCTCTACTGGGACCACTGGGACTGAGGAGCCCCTGCACATCCCCACAGCCCTCCCCTGGGCAGGAGGCAGACACCAGGCACTGCTCATGAGTGACACTGAAGCCCCTGAGGATCTTCCCATGCTTCCCCTTCCCGGGGCAGAAACGTGCTCCACCTGCCAACGCCAAACCAAAGGCCAAATCCTTTGCTAACGCCACGTGCCTGGCACACAAAACTGATGAGGGGAGAGGAAAATTGGGCCCCGCTTGTTGTCCAACTTGGGCTCAATTCTGCCAGCCACCCCACCACTGCAGCCACACCGCTGGTGATCTCTGAGGTGAAGAGGTAGGACAGCTCTTTGGAGACACCCGTTCTTTTCAAGCCATTCAAGTACTTGCACCAAATAGTTTTATAGCTAAACCTGGCAATCCCTCTGCTGAGCATATAGTCAGCAGAAACATCTGCTGGTGTTACCTGCATGCTGGCAAACAACCATTCACCCGACAAGCAGCGACCACAAACCCTCCCAACATTTCACAGCAGCAGTGCGCTTTAAAGCATATGAGTATGTTGTTAAAGAAAAAGTTAAATACAACAAAAACTATGAGACCTGATACTTTAAGGAATGCAAGTCTTGCAGGTGCTTGCTTAATCATGTGAAAGTTGGTGTTTGGCAAGAACCCTTTCTGTGTGTACAGGAAGGGGACAGCTTGCATCAGGTGAAGGATAAATCTGGTCTAAGCCTGACAGTAGCACTGCAAAACCTGCTCCATGTACAATCAGGTAGAGTATCTGTGGGGAGGTAATTCCCGGGGCTACTGAAAGAAAGACCTTTGTAAGGCCTGGTTTCATAGCAGCATTTAAGGTTAACTGGCACACAGAAGCAGTTTTCTTTCTACACACTGGGAAAAAAACATAACAGGAGAGGGAGGAAGGGAAGCGCAGAGCCCCAGATTAGCTGACAGTGTCACCGGGAGTATGCCAGTGTGTGGCTTTTTTCCTTGTGATCCCTTTTAACTGTGCTACTAAGCAAACTGCAAGCTGCAGCAACAGGGCTGGGGAGTCCCACATTACGCTTCCTTATTCCTGCATTCCTGATTAACCAGATGTGACCTGGTTCAGCATCCCCACCACAAAGCTTCCTTCACTGCAGCCATTCCCCAGTTGCCTGTAAGCCAAACACGCAGTCATTTACAGCTGTCTGAACCAGCGTCCGTGTTTCTCTCCACGTCTGCTGAGGCTGCATAGGTGGCTTCCACACTGTGCCATATTCCGTAGGTAAAGTAGATGATAAAGCCTGTGGAAGCCAAGGGGAGAGGGCACTGTTAGCTCTGTAAGGAAATCGAAAGCACTACTAACACCAATTGACACAGGTTACACCAGGGGTAAATCCAGCCATCCCGATAGCTTCTAGCTGACAGCCAGTACCTTCCTTAGAAAAAAGCCACTAACACAGGTACCAGACTTTAAAAGATCTACCCAGGCCCCAAACGGGGGGTTGGTTATGGAAGAGACTTCTGATGCTCTTCAGTGAGTTCACTGCATTCCATTCTGCAGAGAGCTTTCTCTCTCCGTTTGTGTGCCTACAGCTTCCATCTCAGTAAAATACATCCACAACTGATGCTAATCTCACTTGTTTTCATTGTAACAAATTCCCTGGGCATTTCAGGCAATTCAGCCTTTTCCATGTGAGCACCTTGGGATGCAGTTCAGCTCCTTTAGCTCCAGAAGCACAAACTCCACTACCTGGACTGCAGTTCAAGGTCAGCCAACAAGAAACATGGCATGGTTTCTTGCTGGCAACAAGACCAATAAGATGGTTCATGGGCTGTTATTTTTCTCCTCGCAAAGGCTTCATGAGCCTTGAATTTAAACCAAGGCTTGAGGCACACTGCCTAAATGGCTTCAGTTAAGTCAGCAAGGCTGCCCAAGGATAAGAGTGCAGAATCCCTCCCTGGAAAGCTACAATAAATTTATGGTTAGCAAAGTCTAGTTAGTTTGACTACAGCATTTTTTACTCTCTCAAACTCACCTATGAGCATCCAGACTGCAAACCGTATCCATGTGCCTAGGTCTAGCTGCATCATGAGGTAAACATTCACAAAAATACTCACAACTGGAAGAAGGGGCAAAAGAGGTACCTGAAAAAGAAAGAAGGATACATTACATCCACAGGGCAGGTGAGAACACTGCATCCCTTGTGAAGGGGAAAGCGATGGCTGTGACCAACTTTTCAGCTGCCAGATCTGAGAAAAGGCAAGGTTAGACCACCACCATGGGAGAGTGATGTGAATGACACTGTTCACCTGTTTTAAGGATGGTTGTCCTTGTTTTCTGTGGTCTGCAAGGAGGCAAGAGACAAATTTTAGCAGCAATACTAAACACTGGTGGGACGAAGGAGAAAAGAGGAAAACCAAGGACTGCATCATGACAGGCACCTACTGAAGACCAGGAGAAGAAGGTAAGAGGAATGTTTGAGGAGGGACCTGAGGAACTTCAGCCAGCCAGTACCAAGGTAATTAAGCAATATAGAGCAAATTATCCCAGAGCAGGAGAAAACCAGAAAATATTGTAAGAGATGAGTGCAGCTCTACCAAGAATGCCTTAATGATCCAAGATACAAAGAAGAATGAGACAGTAAAGCCAAAATGCAGAAATCAGAATATATTTATTCTACATTCTGTGATTCTGTGATAAAGAAATAGCACAGGCATGTACAGACAAAATCAGAAAGGGCAAATTATAACAATAGAAAAGTTTGTGAATATGGTGAAACCAAGAGGAAAGTGAACTTCACTCCTAAGGAAAAGGGAGATTTACAAAAAGAAACAGGCTGAAATATTGTAGACCTTTCTTCATTTAAGCTTCATTAAAAAAACAAAACAAAACAAAACAAAACCACATTTATGGTGAGCAGCTGTTCACATCATTAGAGAAAGGGGATGGATACACAAATTAGAAAATGGAAGAGGAATATTTTTCTAAATTAGTCTTTGTCAAGTCAGTAGGGACAAATGAAATTTCCCTAGGCAGGTGAGTTATGTACCCAGAGATTGCAGAAGTGATCTCTGAACTGATAACAGGCATCTCTGAGAGCTCTTGGTAGACCAGTAAGGTCTCTAAAGACTGGAGAAGGGAGACAAATTACCTATTAAAAAGAAATATAGAAAACAACCTGGGAAACAAACCAGTCAGCCTTGGATTCCCAGAGACTTTTGAGAAAAGTCACTCAACAGTCAGGTTGTAAATGTCTGAAGGACAACAAGGAGATAAGAAACAGCCGTTACACATTTAGCAGTGACACATCTAATTTTATCTTTTTATTTTTTTTCCCCAAGACAGGGTAGCGGCTGAGGAGGAAAAAAGGAAGTAAAATATCCTGAGTGTAAGGCAAAGAGATCTCCTCAGAAGCAAGTTCCAAAAAGACAGTCTAGATGACTATTCTGAAGTTTTCTGCTCATGGACATTTCTATTTCCACTTCTGGGACCACAATCCCAAGATGAGCTGCAAACACTACCTTGGGCAACTCTGGTTGAATTACATTATTAAAATCAGAGAATTTACTGAAAAACTGGAATTGAAGAGCAGTCAAAACGACAGCAATTTGGAGGATGGGATTAGAATCCAAAACTAATTTAATAAATTGGGGAAAAAGCCTGAAATCAATGATAAAACATGACTTGCAGGCTTATACTGGGAAAAAAAAACCACTGCAGTGTTTGTTTAATATAGAAAGGATGGTGTGCTTGGACAGGGCAGGAAAATGACAGAGTTCTTCATATCTGAGGCTGTTGAAGAGAGAACAGTCTCCAAAGGGACTAAGTTTGACATGAAACTGCACTTTTTTAGAACCTTTCAGCAAGTACCCCTTTGATCCTCACACACAAGGCTGCTTCTTGGGGTCTCTCTCCTTCTGTATCCACGATCTGACGTGGTCCTTCAAAACCATTCCCTTTTCCTCTGGTCTTTGTCTCTTCCATATCCTAGAACCATCTGCTTTCCAAAGCACTGTCCTGCCCTTCCCTTCTGGCCACATCTCTGCACCAGGTTCTGCCCTCCCAGCTTTTCCTGGACTTACCACCTTTTACATTTCTTTCCAAGTTCTCTATTGTCACCTCTGATCTGACCATGTGGCTTTCCCTCCCGATTCCCTCCTCCAACCCTCTCAGCTAACTCCTTCAGCCCCTCTCTCTGTGCCAAATCTGCTTCTGCCCATGGGGCACTGCTGGGCAGCAGGCTTGCCACAGTGCTGCTTCTGCCATGCTGCACTTTGCAGCAAAGCACCTGTGCTGACACTTGAGGTTAGACCCCAAGAGGAAACCACACTCAGAGGCTGAGCTCAGCTCTGGTAGGACATCCCTTTATGCAATGAGTGCAGACTAGAAGTTACAGCCACGCTAGCTGGAGACCTCAAACCATCAAGTGTATTGGCAGCCCTGTATGGAAAAGTTCACATCACGCCTATATTCTCTGCATGTCCATTTGGCCAAGTCCCCACTTCTGATACCAGCCAACATGCACTTCCTCCTCCAATCACCTCCCAAACAGCTCTTTTCTAGCTACACCTCCCAGGACACTCACCTTAAAGGAGAGTTTGGTTTTGCTTTCGGGCTGTTTCCAAATAATGAAGCTGATGATGAGAACAAGGATGGCAGCAATAATCCATACAGCCTTTATCAGAATGCTTGGCTCAAGGGCAGTCAAGATACAGCTACCCACAATAAGGAAACCTGTGAACAGACACCAAAGCTTACTGATTCTGTTTTTAGGAAGAGGAAAAAAACAACCCAAAACCACAAGCAGGCAAAGCAGAACCTGAAAGCTTGTCAAACAAACCAGCAGCTATGGAAAAAGCTAACTAATGAAAAAGCTCACTGTAAGAGATATGCTCTTCCCTCTATATACCCACACACAGCCCATCTGTGGATCTCTTTTCAAGTCATAAATTTTATCAGCAGACCTTCAGTTATTTTGGCCATTATAAGAGCTCATCAAAATCACAGCAAGGAGGTGAGCTCTCCCACCGTGGTGAGTACAAGGACCTACCAGTTCACTCATTGCCCCAGAGCTGCACTGCCCAGTGCTTACCAATGATGAAGGTTGAGACGTTCACCACCGAGCCAGAGAATTTGGAAGGGTCCGAATTTGGGGGACACAGTATGGCTTTGAGGGAACACTTCTCCTCTTCCTCTGGCAGAAATCCAGCTTGCGACTCACTGGTGCTCACAGACTCGTTGTTATCCGTCTCCTCTGTTGTCCTAGCCATTTGGTACGCCAAATTAGGCTGCTCTGGCTGATACCTAGGCAAAGAGAAATGAAACAAAGGGCACATTGGTTTGGCACAGAGTACCGTTTGTTTAAAAGCCACACAGATAGTCATGGCTGTGCCCCAGATCACAATATCACCAGAACAGGCCCACATAACATATACACCCGTCTGTTTCAGGGGGAAATTTGAGGAATAACGTTGTCATGACGTAAGCAAATATGGTCAGCTATTATCACCTACAGCTTGGTTGTAATGCCAGTGTTTTAAACTGGATAGTGCTCTCTTTCATAAACCCTATTGCCTGTGACACCAAAACACAATCAGGTGATAGTGAGGACTGGAGAAGGAAGTGGCAGAAGGACAGACAGACAGTCCTAACCGGGCCGTTGGGTTATCTGTGCCAGTTTAGCTCGTGTGTTTTGGCATGGAGGTGGCTGAGCTAACAGTTCAGCAGATATCGCACCCTGGCAGCTGCTGACTGCACCCCACAGGGACATTCCTGGAGCCCCATCCTCCTTCATCGAAGTCTCTTGTGCCAGCTTGTCTGCTGCCACATAAGGAAGGAACAGGTGAACAAAGAACAGTAATATTTTGTTGCCTGTGTGGACAGCACCACATTCAACAGGGCCCACAGGGCCCTGACACACAACCATGTGGATCCATAAAAAATCCCCCACCACTCTTTTAGTCTCAGCTCCCTTTTACAGAGGTTTTGTTTGTGACTCTCAGCCACAAGCCTACCTAAAGGAAAGCACCATTTTGAAAGACATCTTAAAATCACTCCTGTGGGGATGTGTTTGCAACAAGGGAATTTGTGAAACACTGTGCATTGAGAAATGCAATGAAATCCTTGGGTCTGGCCATAGCAGGGTATTAGTGGCAGGACCTCACAGCTTTGGAAACAATTCAGCTGCTACTTCATTAGGCAGCCAACGGAGCAGCCAAATCAGCTGCTCGGGCCCTGTGAGACAGGCTGTCAGCTCTGCCAATCTACAGTAGGTACAGCATCTTGCAAAAACAAATTAAGAAGCAATTTCCAGCTCTAAGGAGAAGAGGAGGCTGGGAAATCAAAGAAGGGAAAGGCAAATCAGCAGGATTTTCAAGGGGCAGGGTGGGCAGCACAAGCACAGAGCAATGGTATTACAGTACAGGTTGGCCCTTCATTTGCTGCAACTAGTTCAATGCCTTTGCTGCGAGCCTGTAAAAAGCCTCCACCTGACTCTGAGTAAGTCACTGAACACAAAAAGGTACTTTTCAGTAACAGGATCTTCAAAGTACAGTTCTCATGGGCAGAGTGCTGTTGTCAGTGAGGTGCCAAGCAATGAAGATACTCAATTTTCAGCTTAGGCGAGGGAAGTGATGGGAGCTCAGCACTTCCAAAGACATGCACTAAGACACTGATCCTGCTCAGCTTTTTTCTGCTGCTAGACTTTACCTTGAATCCCCTTTCAAAAGTAAGATGACCTGAAATTGTATCCCCAGTGGGAACAGAAGCGTTGATGACACAGGCATCCAGAACCACCCATTTCTCATCCCCACTCGCTGGGACATCCCCCAGGGCATTCAGGGTTGACCACAGCAGGAGTGGCATGGACCAAGGGTTAACCAAGTTCAGAGGACCCCCTCACAGATGCAACTAGCTCAATCTCCCATGAGCTTAAAAACACAAGTTCTTCACATGCTTACAGCTGGAGATTTTCATGGTTTTACTGGGTCTATGGAAACTACGAGGGCATCTGATTGCTGTGTGGATTTCTGTCTTGTGTGGTGCAAGAGAGACAGTTTCTACACCCATACCTCAATACCAACACGCAGGCTGCCACCAAAGAGTAAGCCAGGAGGGTCCCGATGGACATGAGATCCACAAGATCTTTCAAGTCGAAGAGAAAGGCCATAACAGCTGTAAGAGGAGAGGAAGGTGAGAGAGAGAAGAAAAATCAGTAAGGCAGCAGAACTTGCACATCTCAGGAGTGTTAACAACAATGCAGCACACGTGTGACTGCTGCACAGGACTCGGTAGGAGAGCCCAAGCTGTCCCGAGATTAGGAGAGGCAGGACTTTGCATGTGAATACCCTGAACCTTGCAGGCTGTCCCAGCACAGATTCACTATCTGGAGCCAGAGGAACCACTTACTACAATAAATGCCAGCCTGTTTGCCTCATATGGGTGTGTTCACCCAACTACCAGCAATGAGCAGGTGCTTAAGCCACAGTCTCGTTGTTGGAGTCCCCCAGCACAGCTGCAGCACCCCAATGCCACAGTTATCTCCTGGAAGTAGCTAGAGGGAACAGAGGATGGGCAGCACCTCACTCTGGTGTCTCAGCTCAACGGGGGCGAAACCAGGCTTGGGACCAAGCATCAAGGAGGGCACTTTGAGGTAGCATGCCTCATCATGGGGATTTCCAGAAGAAGGTATAGATTGTCATCCCTTAAAGAATATCCTGCTCACACACCCTCACCAGGCAACCCCTGGTTGTACAGAACTTTATATAAAGGCCTTCAGAAGGAGAAGCAAGTAAGTGGAAGACAGACACCATAGTCAAACATTCAGGTGATGCCACCAGTCGTATGAGAGTGTGGGGATATCAGAGCTGAGCCTGGCCCAGACTGTCCTCAATGCATCACCTGGAGCCCAACAACCAACCCAACCTTCAAGCTCAGCTGGCAAGTGTTGTCTCTGCAGCTTCGTGTGTTCTTTGGTCCTACATGCTGCAGACCACTCTGAGGAAACCTGAAGGGACTGTAAAGCACATTGGGTTTTTTTTTTTACTTTATCTGGCTCTTTTTTTCCCCCAGTCTGGACCCAAGGACACCTGAAGAGGAAGGTGTGAGAGAAGCAGCAGTGAGGAGGCCCTGCGAGTCCCAGCAGCAGCAGCTGAGCCCTTTCACAGGAGCTCGGCGCCCACAGTGGCAGATCGGCAGCAACTCCCCACCAAAGATGGCACGTTCTTGCACCGGTGGCTCACCCTGCATTTGCAGCAGAAGGTGAAGAGGAAGCAGCAAGGCCCTCCTCTTTGCTAGGCATCGCGAGGAAGGGGGTGGCTGCAAGAAGAGGGTAAGCCCCCATCCTTGCCATCTGGGAGGTTTAATTCCCATATTCCTGGGGGCTGGGAGAGGGAAGGGGAGAACAGGACGGTTGCCAGCTGTGACTAACTGATTAACAAACACTGGTGCCACAGGGGCCATCTGCCTGTCTCCGGCTGCTCTGGCGTCTTCTGCCGAGTTGCTACCCATAGGCAGCATGGTGTCTTCAGCCAAGCCAGGCCAACAGCCACAAGGATGCTGGGGCACCACTAGCTGCCACCTTGCAGGGGGTTAATTATTTTTAAGGTCGGTAGAGCACCCAGGGAGCAGATGAAGTAATTCTTGGTGTGAGACAGGATGGCAGCAAAGAGCTCTGAGAAAGAGGGACGGGCACACAGCAAGCTATTCATGCTTACCCCGTCATGCTGTGCAATACATCCGATTAATAAGTGGGCTAGAGTCAGGACGACTTATCTGCCCCTAGGATGATCTTATGTCTCCTGTCCACACATTTGTGTAGGTCTTTATATCTTACCTGCAACGGCCCCTGATGTCACTGTTGCAATTATTGGAGTTTTTCTCTTCTCATTGACTTTAGCCAAAAATTTAAAGAGAAGTCCGTCTTCTGCCATAGCATAAATTATTCGAGGCATCGGAAACATGGAGCCAAGGAGACTAAAAACACAGAAGCAGGAAATAATCTACTTATATCACCTCCTGCTGAGTACAGCCACACAAATAAAAGCAAGTTTATGGCAGTACAAACACAGAACAGGTGGCTTTCGTTCACTTCAGCTTCTCCTTCAAGGGCTCCTTCCGCACACCCATGTTGCTCATAGCTAGCAACTGAGGTGCAGCTCTGAGATTTTGGATATCTAAACTGAGCCATGGGGCACGAAAACAGCCTGACTTTCAGGTAGCAAAACAGCCATAACTTCTATGAGCCTCTATGAGTAGCTCAACTAACTGAATATGTCTAAGTTGATCTGAAACAATAGGTCTCTATAGCGCAGAAGAACATGACATATTCTGGCTCCAGCCTGCCCTGCCTCCCATCCAGATGGCTGTCCTGCAGGCAACCTGCAGACAGACGGCCCTGAATATGGTAAGCCCCATACGCTGCAGAACATGCACCCTGCACTACCTGACACCAGTCTGTTCTCTGCCCAGAAGGCCAGGATGTCTTGTGGGCAAACCATGCTTGCGCTGCGGAGCTGCATCCATGACTTAGTCACTGAATCCAGATTTATCTTCCAGAGATGCGCACCTGCTGGGTCTGCTGCTAAGATGGAAGTTCTGAAGTACATCTCTGAAATCTACCACAGGGTGAAATCCTGGTCCTTTTGAAGTCAATAGGTCTGAATTTCATCCCTGGTCTCTGCTCCCTTGGCCCAGGGGAACATAGCAAAGGCAAAGCCCTGACATACACCATTTTTTAAAGGAGCTGGAAATTCATGTTTGCCTCGAGAGATGCACAAAGGAAGGGCAGTGTCTCACCTTGTAGAAAGCGCACACAGGGAACCAACAGCCACTGCATAATTGGCTCCATCCCAACCCACATATTTAAAGGCATTGGGTAAAGGGCTATTGGTATCCAGCTGGTAGTAAGGCATCATGAGCGTCAGGGCAGCTGACACGCCAAAATAAGCCACGAAGCAGATGAGCAGAGATGCCACAATGCCAATGGGAATGGCCTTCTGAGGGTTTTTTACCTCCTCACCTAGAAGAAAGAAATTGAAACATCTCAGCTAAACGACAAGCAATAACTTTATCCCAACCTAGGACATGCTGGCTGAGGCTTTCAAAGGCTTCGTGGGCAGTGAGGTGCTTTATGACCGTGACGCTGCTGATGGCCTGCCCCATCTACTCGGCGTATCGCAGCCTGTTTGCTCCCACTTCTGCTGCTCCTGTCCCTTCTTCTGACAAACACTTCTGGAGGCCTTGTAAATTCAGGCACAGAAACAATCTGGATTAAAAATAGTCCTTTCCCCAAAAAGGATTATTTTTACCTCAATTACTCCTGCTATCCCATTGATGGTGCAGCCCCAAGAAGAGTTCAATGATCGCAAATGATGGGACAGGCAATTATTGTGCAGTTGTAGGGCAAATCCTTGGGTGACCATTTCAGTTAGCATCTCCACCAGAACTTTACTACACAGTGAAGACGACACCATAGTTCCAGGGAAAGGCACACTTTGCACAGCACCTGGAAACCATATGGATCTTTGAAAATCCCTCTTAAAAAAAGGACTCCTAGTTTTCATGGAAAATTTTTGACAACCAAGTTGGGACAAATGTGTGAAAAAAAAAAAATCCTCAAAATTCAGGCACTGATTAAGTAAGAAAAAGCTTTGAGCTTTCCCTGTCCTCCAAAGCTGCTCTTCTCTGAAAGTAAGAGCTCCTGAGGTCTGGCATTTCAGGAAGATGAACTGAAAAGAAGAGACCCATACACCTATAAGTCAAAGACAGATGAATGTGTTTCTCCTCCAAGGAAAGGCTCTAGGGCTGTTTAGAGTAATGGAGCCAGCACTTCTCAAATTCCTTGGAACAAGAGGCAGTACTGCTTTATCTGTCTTTGTGATTACTTCCTCCACCCTCTGCTCCAGCTTTGAAGCAACTCACTTCTTGCCAAATGTGAAATTAAATATAATCCTTCCTTCCTCCAGGGAACTGAGATTCTTCTTAGCCAGGAGAAATATGACAATGCTGATGGTTTTTCTCTTAGAAGGAGATCTCTGAACCTTTGGTGACAAAAACTCCTCCTTATTTTGAGGCACAGCTTTAGGCTGCAGATGACTTCCCAGAGGCTCCTTCTTTTTTCTCTGGCTCTTTAACTACTCCAAGCCAGTGGGGTTTCTTCAGCTGAAGGCACTGAAGAACCCTACTCCAGAATAACCTGTTGATTAAAGCATCATCTGGAACTAGAGGTTCAAACTTCATCAGTCATACAAAGCATTTGACCTTGGGCCTTCCCTGTGTGCCTAACTGGTAAAGCTGGCTGTGTTTTCTGGGGAGTCTGACCTGGTTAGTGCCATCAGTGACCAACCCTGGGCCCTGTAGGCAAAGAAGAAGGGACAAAGCTCATTTTGTGGGTTACACAGTATAGCTGCTTGCCACAGCAGCTCTAAGTCAATGTTCAGGCACCCAGGGACTTGCGTCATACTCAGCACTTAGAATGTTAGGAGCAGCTGAGACAAAAATATATTTTGGGCTGAGGTTCAGAGGGATGATGAATGCAGTGCCCTGAATAATGCACTATGTGTGCTGTGCAACATTACTGAAAGCCTATCTACCAGCAAGCAGGTTCAGAACCAGAATGAAGACATCTCCTCTCTTACCTGTAGTAGCAATACAGTCAAATCCCACGAAAGCATAAAAACACGTGGCTGCTCCTGAGAGGACTCCTTTCCATCCATAGGGCATAAACCCTCCAACACCATAGAGCTTTTCTTCCTGTGTTTGACTAAAAGACATGGCACTGGGTTAGAATTCATCCTGCCTAGGTGGGAGCAACAAAACCCAAAGCTGGAGTTTGAAAGAACACGCCCTCCCTTTCACATGCTAGCATACAAATACCAGGCAAAATGTGAAGCTCCACCCACTGCTGAGCTTTGGACTGGCCTGCAACAGCCTGGGACATGAGCAGAATAAAAATGGTTCCTGGTTTGTTCCAACCACCTGTTTTTTTGGGGTGGATAAAAATGACTTTGCTAAGACAGGGAGAAAATAGCATGAATATTAAAATTCCTCTCCTAGTATCACTGCATGTGTGTAGATACACATATTCATTTAAACATAAGCTTTTGAAAAAGCACAACATGTAATTCTGAAAGCTGAAGACCGAGAAACTGTAAACAAGCCACTTTTCACCTAAGATGGACTCAGATAAAGTGTAGGTAAGTAGACATCAGACAGCAATGCAGGGTGACATGATTGTCTAAAATCCACTTAATCCTCCATTCTCAACTTCGAAATTCCCTGTGCCACATTCGTACCCAAAGCATAATGCAAACCTGAGGGAGGAGAGCAATCTGCATCCCTAATGTACCAAATGCTTTGCTGAGCCTCATCCAAAGTTCATCAAAGTGAACAAATACGCACTGATCAGGACCCCAGATACATGTGCCTGTGTTGAGTCATGTATAACATACCCTTCAGTTTAAGTCACTTAGGTCACTTTTTCAGGGAAAAGCCTTTGTAAAGATTAATTAAAGCAATTAAATTAAAGTAAATCCCAAATCTGCAAGTCTTATCAGGTCTAAACACCTGAACTCTCTCATAGAAGCTCTGTTGAGACTTAGATGAAAACTGGCCTATTATTTGCAGAAACAGTGCAACCCAGATGAGGATTACTGTGGAAATAATGATAAAGTACATCCCAGACAGATTTTGCAAAAGCAGTAAGTGCTATGGGTCAAAGAGCTACAGTTACACTTTGAAACTACTGCACTAATTGCTCCTTGCATGGGAACAGCAGTAGGGAAGGAGGGGGGACCTTTCCTATAGAAGCAATTTGTTAACAGCAGGCTGAATTTTACAGAGTCTCAATAAACGGCTTGTACACAAGCTAAACTTGACCCATGCAACATTTATTAGTCTCTCCAGTTTTTGCCAAACTGTGCTTCCTTGCAGGCCAGCATAAAGAGTTTGGACAGCAAGCCAGGACTGAGCTGATGTATGTGGAGATATTTAAAGACCCTTACTCTGTGTTGTACAGTCTCAAGCAAAAATGAACAGCCTTGTATCACTGGCAACCTTTCCAATCTTCATTTTGATCTTGTATAGGAAGATAGCATTTGGGCCAAGTAGTAAAATGTCTTTAAAAATGGATTTGTGATATGCTTGCTGCAATGTATTAAAATAATCTGCACTTGCTTTCATTTTACTGAGGCATTTGGGACAAGGTCTCCAAAAGGTACAATGGTGCCTCAAGGATACTGCCCAAGTGTCATGGCTTCATACAGGCACTAGAGCCAGCCTGGGGTAGCCTTGAGTAGGAGGTTGTCTAAAAAGCTATTTTCTCTCAAATCTGGATGCCATACTGGTCATAAGGCTCGAAATGGTCAGTTCTGCAGCAGGGCTGACCTGGACACAGTCTACCTCCTATCAGTTTCAGCCCATCAGCACAGCCTGCTTACAGCAAATGCCCACCAAACCCAGCTTTGCCTCCAAGGCATTTGGCAAAGGAGGGAGCCATTTCATTCCCTGCTTCTCTAAATCACTCCACAAACACCCCTATAAACTTGCCACTGAAAATGCATTAATTTCAGAGCTGAGAAGAAAAGATCCAACCTACTTGTCTCCGTAAATGCTGTGGCTGGTGTTGTAAATATCCTGTTCAGTCAGCTGCCAGTTTTTAATAGACCCTTTCACGAAGCCAGAGACCATGACGAAGCCAAGGACGAGGATGTTGATGCAGGTGAACACTTTGTTCACCAGGGCAGATTCCTTCACGCCAAAAATTAAAAGCCCTGGGGAAAAAAATGGCAGAGAGGCAGCCAGGTATTTCACCACCAGCAGCAGGTGCTGAGGGCTTGCAGAGGTAGCCCAGCTCTGTTCCTGCTGTGCTCTGCCCAACTTACCACACCTCATTTCTCCAGAAAGCTAAGTAGCTCAGGTAGGTCAGGATTAACTCACTCAGAAGGAGGACGAGGACTCCAGCCCAGACATTACTACTGCAGGATGTGATAGATCTTCCCACCCAGCATGCCCATTTGGCACATGCCCCTGGTAAAGCGCTTTGCTAACACAGCTAAGCTGCTCCCAACGCTTTTAATGCCAGCTCTGGTCACCTCATGGCACTATGCTGTGCCACCTAGAGACCTAGAGAAAGCACCTCAAGTGTTTTTTCATGAAAGAACACTGTCTTAGAGGTCTTAGCCACAAGTTATGAACAACATTCAACTTCCCTTAGAAGCAGGGGAAAATAAAGAGCAAGGACTGAATTCAGGAGGACAGCTACTTCTAGTGCTGAAGACACAGAAGAAGGTGGCATCTTGGGAATCCTGCTCCCATTCAAATCGGTGGGAGTTTTGCCAGTGAATTCAGGGACAGCAGGATTTCAGCCTGTGGTCTTAAGAGCATCCATCTGAGGGAGAGCACGCTCACAGGCTTTGGCAATCAGCATCTAGCTGAGGCACAGCTCAGCTTCTCAGAACAAGCTCTGTAACTTGTGCTTGCTCTTCAGATCCCTGATTTTCAAGAACCCAAACCTTTAACCCAAATCTAAGAAGGTGACTAAGAGAGAAAGTAAAAAACTGAGGAAGAAGAGAAGCACAACAGGGTGTCCTTACTGCTACTCCAAGGCACTTCAAGGAGGGAGGAGCACCCTGTGCACTCACCTTTCCTTCTTTTAAAACAGGAAATAAGCCGAGACAGGCACATCAGGGAAGTGTTTGATAAAACTTGCATACCTGCCCAGGAAAACTTGTAGGGTACAGTGTAGAAATCTGATGGTGCAAGAAGAAATAAACTTGCAGTGCTTATATCTGGGACCAAAGCTGCTCATTCAGCAGCCTATTGTAGAAAAGAATGCTTTGCATTTTTAATTAAAATCCAGGGAATTTGCTCCATGCAGGGGAATAAAGCCATCAGTAGTCTGTATAATTTTAAGCCTCAACAGTGCTAAAATGTGGAGTCCTAAATTTTGTAAATTGTATCTGAGGTGAAAGACCAGGTTCTAATTTGCAACTAGAGCAATTCCTATTCTATACAAATGAACAAAGAGGAAAATCTTCTCTCCCATTCAGATATATTCCTGAAAAGAGAGGGCAGCTATTGACTTCAGCAGTCCTCAATATAGTCCTAGATCCAAATGCAAATGCAGGTGCTAAAGCATCCTTTGATTATGAAGCCTGTCCCCGTGAGCACAGCTCACACTGTGAGATGGCCATGCTGATCAGAGTGGGAAATGTTGGGATAAACTTGCTGGGGTGACACTGTAGCTTCTGCATTCTGGAAACCACAGAGGGGAACATGAGAAGTGTAAATTTTTTAAATTTGCCTAAATTTAGCAATGCTTTGCAAGATCCAGTTGGAGAAGAAGTTCAAAAGTGTTTTAATTTTACAAATTTTCAAAATTTTCCCAAGTTCTGATCAAAGCCTTGGCACATTTTCAGAAGGAAAAAAAAAAAAGACCTGACTGTTTATCACACATGTATTTCTCTGGAGTCTTGCATTCACTGCTGCAAACTGAATCCCATATATATTAAAAAAAAACCCAACAAAACAGTAGTACATGAGGTTGTTACTGAGTCCCATTTTTTTTTCTCACTTTCCTGGCTCAAGGCACCAGAAACTGGCAGATTAACAATGGGAGAAAAAGGTTGACAGAGCAACAGAATTAAATTCTTGTGTAACAGGATTTGTGGAGGGAAGGATTAAACTTACATACCTGACTGAGGATAACAAGTCATCTTTTCTTTTCTTCCTTATATTAAATCTGATTGTAGGTTTTAGAAGTAGCTCAAAAAATAATGAGAATGCTCCCCTCTAATTAAAAACCCTGTAAACAGGCTATGCCCCATGCCAACTCCACAGTAACTATACAGGTCAATCCAACACTCATGGCAAAGAGCCTTTAATATACATCATGACCTGAAGCCTACTGGAAAAGCAAACAAATTAGAGAAGGAGGTCCAAACCCCTCCAAGGTTTTACCTGTTAGGATGATGATTATCACCACAGCGAAGATATCTGGGTATTTTGCCAGCACTCCAGGAGCATCCATCGTCATGTACTTCTTACAAAATTCTTCAATGTGCTGTCCTATGATTTCATCAAACGTTGCGCTCCACGCTCTGGCCACGCTCGAGGTTCCTGCCAGAGGACAGAAAGGACGCAGATCACCCTTTGTGGCTGGCACGTGTTCCAAACATGGGGCACCTTGCACAGCTTTTGGCCACGGAAGGCCTCAAAGCAACCTTGCACACGCTTCCTGGGTGCTGGGAGCAGCCTTTCCTCAACAGATCCAGCCTACAACCTGTGTTCATGCCTGGCATCTGCTTTGATGGTAACACACACAGGTGGTGGGTCTCAGACTCATGCTCAGCTGACAAGATAAAAAAATCCTTATAGTGGTTTGACTTCTCAGTAAATCTCAACTTTGCCTTAAGATACAGCCTAGACTGACCCTCTCCTCACGCGCCCAGCATCCTGAACTTCCCCCAAACCTGGTAATTTCTGGTACTACAGAGGTCTGAGTCTCCTCTCACATCAGCAGAAATCCCTGGCAGCCCTGACCAGGTGACTGCAGCCCAGGCAGAAGGACCTTGCAGAAGCCAGCCAGCCTCCATCAGCATGATACTGCAGAACCAGAGCCTGGACCACCATACTCACCCAGCTCTGTAAGCTCTGCACTCCAGCAACACACCAGGTCTGCTCTGACCTCTGGTGCTAGACCATCCGAGCAGGACAAAGACTTGGATGTCATTTACAGGTTATCTGAGCATCAGTCAGCCTATGGATGCTGGTGAAGACCCCAGCAAGCAGCAGCACAACTTCTGCTGGCAGCAAGTGCTTCGACTTCACCCTCCAGGGCCTCTTTGCTGTGGTTCTGAAGTGCACCAACCACACACAACTTGCCGAGGTGAGGACTGAACCTGAGGTCTCAGGATGACCAAGTCCAGGACACTGTCTGGGCCAGAAGAGTCATTTCAGAGAACTGAAACAGTAACGACGAAGAGCTACCACCAGACAGTAACAGAACTGTGTAAATTAAGTAGGTTTGGGTAATAGCCAACTTCTCCCTCTCCTGCATTAAAGTGGCTATACTCCCTATGCCTTATACAGTACACTATATATAACACCATCTAATTGCATGCTATAATTACTTCTGTACATAATTACCTAGTTAAAAAAAGACATTGGTTTGGTGTTGGTTTGCAGAGCAGTTCCTCAGAGGATGCCATCAGGGGCCTCCTTCTACCTAGAACAGTTTGTCCTGACACGCTCACCTGTGGGCAGGTGTTCAGGTCCCAGGGCTGGCACCTGCAATTGTGTCAAACAAGGTTTGTGCTCACCCACACCCAAACCCTCTGCAGCAGCAGCGGAGCGGCAGCACCTGCAGCAAAGCCAGGAACACTCACCTCCCCAATCCAGCTCTGCAACTTGTAGAAGTAAGCTGCAGAATAGACCTGTTTGGAAACCCTTCTCTTCACGGAGACAGCAAAGAGCACAGTGTGAATGTTTTCAAAGAAGTGGGACATCAGTGACATCAATTTAATCTTGAAAAACTCCAAAAGTTATAGCACACCACTATTCCAATTCTTCAGCTTAACTTTGGCACGATGGGAGGGAAGAGACTATTTCTTTAGTGCTATTTTTTTTTTTCCGGCTCTAATATTTAATGTTCTAGGACAGGAACAACCAGCTCCTCCATGAGTTATATTAGATGACAGTTGCTTGGATGCCAGTTCCATGTAACCATCAGCCATTTATCCCAAAATCTCTGAAACCAACACACTTGAGGGAGTGGGGGGAATCTGACATGCTTCCAACATTGCAGACACCTGGATAATATCTTACTGTTGCTAGAGCACACAATGCAAGGACAGAAGGCTGTGCTGCCATCCAGAGAGATGGCATCCTAGACAGGCTGGAGAGCTGGTCAGAGAAAAATTTAATGAAATACAACAAGGGCAAGTGTAGGGTGACATCTGGGCAGGAACAACCCCAGGTTCCAGTATAGGCTGGGGACAGACCTGTTGGAGAGCAGTGAAGGGGAAATGGACCTGAGGGTCCTGGTGGACAGCAGGATGACCATGAGCCAGCACTGTGCCCTTGTGGCCAGGAAGGCCAATGGCATCCTGGGGTGCATTAGGAGGGGTGTGGTTAGTAGGTCGAGAGAGGTTCTCCTCCCCCTCTACTCTGCCCTGGTGAGGACACATCTGGAATATTGTGTCCAGTTCTGGGCACAGAACAGTTCAAGAAGGACAGGGAACTGCTTGA